TAGTGCTGCCAGTACCAAGTGTCGTAATGTAAGGACAGAATTATGTACAAATTTCCGCCCTACATAAACTTATCATTTTTACTAAAAATCGTCTGCATAAAAATCTATTTATATATTATAAACAAAGAAGCAGCGGACATCCACACGCACAGCCAGCACAGCAGAGCCAGCAGCGAACATCCACACGCACAGTCAGCACAGCAGAGCCAGCAGCGAACATCCACGCGCACAGCCAGCACAAGTCAAGCCAAGCTCACGGCAGAGCCGTTACCTCGCGAAGAAATGCATTATTTGTTTATGCACGCGGAATTACACTTGTGCGGTTGTGCGTTCAAATAATAAAGTGAGAATAATTGCATATAAATTTTTTTTTTTTTTTTTTTAAACTAGGGGAATTTGTAGATCTCGGTGTATACTTTCATTCCTAATATACCATGCGGCACCAGTGATAATTTTTAGTATTTTTGACTGAGCTCTTTGTATAATTTCAATATTTGAAGCACTAGCATTGCCAAATAGCTGGATACCATAAGTCCATATTGGTTTTATGATGCTGTTATACAAGAATACTTTATACTCTAGGCACAGGGAAGATCTGCTATTAATGAGCCAATGCAACTTAGAGGCTTGAAGCTTCATCTGAATTTTTTGGCTTCAATATGTTTGCGAAAAGTTAGTCGTCTGTCTAGGTGGATACCTAAGTACGTTATATTATCTGCTTGTGGTATGGGAATGTTGTTTAGTAAAATTGTTGGAGATGTACTCCGATTTAAGGTGAAAATGACGTGTCTACATTTTAGTTCGTTAATTTTAATTCGCCATTTTGACAACCATTTCTCCACCCGATATAAGTGAGATTGAAGTTGGTTTGAAGCTAGCACAGCGTTTCTGTTTCGGCATAAAATTGCCATATCATCGGCAAACGTTGTGGTGATAACTGAACTACTTATCGGGATATCAGATGTGTAAAGTACATACAATATAGGGCCAAGAACACTTCCTTGTGGAACACCAGCTTCTATTGGAAAATTATTAGAAGTATGTGATTTACATTTAACTTAAAAACTTCTGTTATGCAGATACGATTCTAAAACTGAGTGGACATTTGCAAGTAATGAACAGCGTATCTTATATATGAGTCCATTATGCCATACTTTATCAAATGCTTGTTTAACGTCAAGGAATACCGCGGAACAATATGACCTCAAATGCGTGTCTTATTTCATTCGTTATACGATTCACTTGCTTAATAGTTCCATGTTTTTCCCTAAAACTAAACTGGTGGGACGGAATTAAGTTTTGAACGTCAAGGAACGGTTTTAGCTTTAAATTCACTGCTCTTTCAAAGAGTTTAGAAAGGCATGACAGTAAGCTTATTGGCCTGTCTGAAGAGGCAAGCGTGGGGTCTTTACCTGATTTATGAATCATAATAATCATGGATGTTTTCCACTCTGTTGGGTAAAAGCCAAATTTAATTATGGCATTAAAAAGTCTTGTGATAAAATTTATGGCCAAAAGGGGTAAGTTTTTTATCATGATGGGTGAGATATTATCATATCCCAGTGCTTTTTTGCAATCTAACTTGTTTGTGATTATTTTAACAAGATCATTGGCCGTGATATTCATGTCAATAGATGGTGCTGGTGGATCTTGAGTGCGAAAGTCATATTGTCCTGTTGCAGGATTTGGTTGGAACACCTCTTTTAGGTAATCAGCAAAAACGTCCAAGAGAGTTTCTTATTGGAGAATTGGAGTCTATGGGTGGATTTATACCTTTGCTAGCATTCCACAAAGATGAATGGTTTTTGCCATTTGGACATAGGTTTTGAAAATAATTATATTGTCTGACTTTGACTTCCTTGTTTAATGCAGATCTAAGTCTCCTTTGGGCTTCCTTAAGTAAGTTTTGCGCTAAAGGGGACCTAGATTTTTGCCATTCCCGCCTTAATCTACGTTTTTGTAAAACTAAATTCTCTATGTCACTATTTGTAAGTACTCTATTGAATCTGTAAATTTTATTGCCTTTAGGGGTGGAGTTTTCTGCTGCTGAAATCAGAATTGAGTTTAAAACTGAGGTTGCGTCCTCAATATGAGACTTACACTTTATCTTGTAATTTGTGTGTATGTGTGAGTTAATATACTTTTTATATTTGAGACAGTTTGTTCTAGGACTTGTAAGGCTATAAAAACAGTCATATAATTGAGGACCATCAAGTAAGCAAAATGTAACTGGAGAATGGTCAGAAGACAAATCGCAGCTAGTGTATGTTGAGATAAAATTTTTGCTTATGCCTTTGGTTACGGCGAAGTCTATTAGGTCTGGTATTTTATTGTTATCAGCAGGCCAATATGCTGGCTGCCCAGGAGAGATTACGTCTAGCGCATTTTTTCTATTTAGAATAAAATTGTAGAGCTGTTTTCCTTTTGGATTACAGAGTCGTGAACCCCAATACGTGTGCTTGGCGTTGTAGTCTCGCGCCGCAAGAAATCTTTCACCTAGAGTTAAGAAGTAATCCGTAAAATGGGTCTCAGTAATGTTGAAGCGAGGGGGGCAGTAAACTGCAGATAAAGTTAAATTTTTCCCTTTGTGCTTAACGCATATTTATGTGGCTTGCATATACATAGTTATGAGCATATGTACCTAAAAAATTATGTTTTAGACGCCTTCGTATCAAAATACCTGTACCACCATGTGCTTTGCCATCTGGGTGATTAGTTTTATAGAATAAATAACCAGGAATAGAAAAGAAATTTTTGTTTGTTAGATGTGTTTCTGAGCAAAGCATTACATCCACACTTTCTCGGGATATGAAATTTTTGAGTTCAAGTTTATGTTGGCTTAAGCCGTTTGCATTCCATGTACAAATTTTTAAAGTACTCATTATTTAGACAAAAACATTTGCATTAATTGGCTTTGCATTTTAACTACCTCGTTAAGAGTAGTTTGCATGATTGACATGAACTGAGTTAAGCTCTGAGTGAGAGTGGATATCATTATTTCCAAACTATTACTTTGAACTGGAGGGGCTTGTTGCTTGTCAGATTTAACGACATTAGCATATGAAACACCTGGTGTAACAGGCTTAGAAGTTAAAGGTTGAAGTACTTCAACTAATTTAATGGTGTTACTTCTTGTAGGATTACGCAACGCTTCTTTCTGCAGAGCTAACCTGTGTTTCAGTTCTTTATAAATAGGACAGCCTCTGTAGTTTGCAGTGTGATTTCCACTGCAGTTGCTACATTTTTTGGAGTTGGTATCCTTTAATGCTTTTTTATCGCATTCGGAACTATGGTGAAGCTCGCCACAAGCTATGCACACTGTACGAAGAGTGCAATATGACTTAGTATGGCCATACTCTTGGCAGTTTGTGCATTGCACCCGACCATTTCTTTTGTGGGGCTCCTCAACGCTAATTCTGCGGTGAAGTAAATACTGTAGGTTGTAGATGGGATGGCTCTTATTTTTTTTAAGCTTAGAAGCTTCCGGGTGAAGTTCAACTTTGAACATAGGTTGTGGGATTTTATCTTTGTTAACAATGTTTATAACTGCTCTAGCGCTAAAGCCTTTTTCGCTTAGGGCATTTGTTATCTCAATGGGTTCTACATCTGATTCGATACCTTTAATTACGACAACAAGGCCCTTACTACTATTTAGTTGGTATGTGTAGTAATTTTTTTTGCTGTCTTCGAAATATTTAGTTATGACTCTAAAATTGTTTTCAGTGTCGATTTGGATTTTGGTTTCGTGTATATTGCCCCTGGTTATAGGAACAATATGAAAAGTATTATTTCCAATCAGACGTGCAAGGATTGTAACTAAGTTATTTGAGCTCCGTTCACGCAGGTAGATTGGAGGCGGTTTAAAATTTTTATTAATAGGCTAATTAGCTTCTTCTGTAGTTTCAGCTAATTCAGCAAATCTATTGCCAGAAAAAATGCTTGTAGTTGCACTATCTTTGATAGTTTTAGTTATTTTAGTTACCTTTTGAATTGCTTTTTTGAGGACTAAGTTTTCGTTTCATATTTACATAGCGTTCCATGCCTGTTTGGACCTTTATTTTATTTTTTGGACTCGCTAAGTCGGAAAATGCAAGCGAAGCTGCTGAAGGTACAATGTTTGACAAACTTTTGTCAGTTTGTGTAGTTTTCAGAGGCAAAGTATTCGAT